CGCCTACTAAATTATAAAAGTTTATTTCGTGTTTGTTCAAAGTGCGTTGTATACTTGTACAAACAATCGTACCAGCTTCACGTTTATAATAATTGTATGGCTGTAGTCGTGTATACACGGAGCTGAGAGGGCCACATTGTTTTCTCATATACAAACACTGCAATTAGAAAGCGAAAGTCGATATTATCACGGTGCTATGTTTATAGAGTAATTATTTTTTAGGTAATCGAATTCGTCGTGTTTGGCACGCGTTCCGAAACTTTTCCGATTTGTTCAAACTGTTGTTATAACCATCCGTATAAATTGATTATTTAACCGCGAGAGTTTCTTATTTTCCCCGTTAGAATAACATTTCTTGAATAATATGCTAAATAATTTAATTGTATTCAACACACCCGGATAAAAGTTTTTTCTCCGACGCGTTTCTTCAGACTGTTATTATAATATGCACACAGTGCATAATATATACATTATACTACGCGAAACGCATAAATTAATATTGTCAAATAGTTTGTTGGGTCGTCATAACTTCTTTTTAACTATGTATACTATGTAATATAATGTAATATTCCTATGCTATATTATAGTCGTATATACGGCTGGATCTGATTGTCCTCACCGATGAACGTACCTATTATACAAACTCTCGGGTTCCCATTATGGATTAAATGTTTTCCGCAGTGTATTCAAATAATGTCTATATTTCAATCGGCTCGCGTTTTTGGCTGCCGATTATGTATATGCATATAATATAATTCAAATATATGTTATTACATCCATAATGATACTACGAAAGTAATGAAAAGGTCGGTTTGATCGAATTATTTGTACATAATATATACTATATTATATAGCTCATCCTATCTTTTCCAGGACCTACTCGTATCTGTACGCCGTATGTTGGTGTGGCGAGTTTGATGTCTATATGGAAGTAGAAAGTTTAGAATTGATAATATTTTCATTTCAATTGAAGTCTCGGCAATGGGCTTCAGTTTTTTATTTCTCTGTTTTTAGCGAAGACAATTTTTTTTCAAACCATCGTTTGACAGCAACCTCCATAAATATGACCGATTAGCCCTTATACAAATTAAATCAACTAGCTTGTGTGTTTTAAGTGGATATAGTAGGGACTATCCGTGTTTGATTTTCAGTCGCTCAATAATTGTAATTTAGTGCAAAAATTACCTTCAGCTATGTGCTAGGCATTACAACTATCTGAATGCGAGACAAAATTGAATTACCCATACAGTATACAAACACGGTTTAATTGTCCAGAAACGTGTAATCCGCACGGGTTGGTAACAGTATAACCCCGCAGAGTCGTTAAAATCGTTGGGCAACTGTAAACTGGTATTTCAAAATCGGCAGCACTAACCTACCCCCAACGTCGGGGCACAAGCCCATGTCCACAGACAGATTCTGGTCCCCCTTTCTTATGCCACCGTCGCCGTATATTGTCTTTTATATTATTCTCCGCTGGCGCACAATGCTCCGCGACCCCGTTTTTTATTTTCAAACCAAAGGGGAAGCGTCTCGACTCCGAATGTTTAATTACAAAGTCCTTTGTGGTAGTGTTTTTTTTTTATTCTTTTGGGCTTAGTTTTGCATCCATAAAAGACCTTTCCCCGACCCGGTCGGTCGTATCACGGCGTTATTCCTATAGGTACCTTATATATTATTATTGCCCTCTTTGAAATACCGAATAACGTGCGCAACATACTTAATTATCATCGGCACAGTCATCGAACGTTACCATTCATTTTTCATTTTCCTCCTCCATGTCTTTATTATTGTTATTGCACTTTCGCCTTACGTATATTATCATAGCAACTGTGTACCTATGACATTTGTGTATAATAGTTTATTATATTTTTCCGAAGTATAACATATCAGCTAACGGTGCAGACAAGGTGGTCACTATAATAGTGTTTGTAATATAATGTATATATAGGTAGCGGATAATATATAAATGCACCACGCTGCGAATGTAAATTTTTCGCCTTATTATAGTACGTTGTCGAAAAATCCTATTAAATCGGATGATGTGCAAAAAAATGTGTTGTATTATTATCTACCGGTGCAGGAGGTTTATATTATTATTATACATCATAATGATATGTGTACCAGAACCAGATTATCGCATGTGCATATTATTACGCTTTCGTATTAAATAATATATAATAATGAGGATTGACAAGTGCGTATCGACGAAAAAAGAGGGCTTGTGCCCCCCGTACCTCAGCGGGGTGCTATTATTGAAACGTACGATTTTCAACGGTAGCCGCCCCCCCGACATGTCCGTCGTTGTAATCCCTGCATTTGTGTTTGTATGTGTGTTATTACTATCAATGTAAACGTACATAATATATAATATAATATAATATAACAAGCTGCCGCGGCCGGGAAAGTGGCAATTAGAATGAAAAAATCGTTTTTACTGGATTAATTCTTATGCTCGCATAAGCGTTATTATCCGTATTAAAGTCAACGGGTATATCCGTATTACATTCTTAATTAGACCTAATAATATTATATAATAATATACCTACAGTATATGAGGCAGCAAGACTTAAGTCATATAAAATAATATAAGAAGAATATAAATATATAGCATTAAAAAAAAAAAAAAGAAGAATATAAATACATTATAAGTATTTATTTATTATAATGTCAATGTCATCATTAATTTTATTTGAATTAAAGGATTTTTATTAAAATATGTTTTCATTTGGAAAACCAAAGTTGGTATTTCCATAAGATACACCTTAAATGCTGTAAAAGATCTGAGTATTCGAAAATAAAGTTTTTAAATATACGCTTAAAAATACTAAAAATTATAATTTGAATAGTGCATAATTCAAACATAAAAATGGGAAGAGCATGCTGAACAAATTACCCTGTATATATGTATATATATATGTATGTATATATATGTACACAGTTATATACAGCATGTATTATGCATGTATTATACTACCATTTTATACGACATGTTGATACAAATTGATATCGCTAATTATACGAGTATTATTAAAATACTGATTAGATATTCGAATTTACATCAAAATAACTTGAGAGTTATAAGTTATAACTGCCGCTGGTATCGAAGCAGGTATACGCATTATTATCTAGAGTAAAATTGTAGATTGGATAAACAGAAAATGAGTTTTTCTGCCCTATGTATATTGTATACAATAAAAGACATGCTATTGCAAACATAAACATCGTCCTTATTTTATGGCTTCGCCACAATTTGTACCTAACCTAAAGCTGTTAATTATATGGTGTGGTTTTACTACAACACAAGAATTTGTCTTATTGAAAAACCGCAAAACACTACCAACAGTTACCTACAATCATCGCTTTTGCCAAAATTAAAAATAATAAATATTCGTTTATCTCTCTCCATCTCCTCACACACTAACCTAACCTTGCACTTTTAAGACAAGCTATTTCATATTATTGTTAACTTTGAGCTGTACGTGACCTTTAAAAAAAAGTCCAATGTGACACAATTGTACTCGTGTTGAAACAAATGTTTGCTATTTCCATTTAGATATACCAAACAAATGAGACTGCGTAAAATATTTTAAATTATAATGGATGTCTCGTATTGCATTGGTCTTTTATTGGGATGGTGTTGGCTTAAGATTGAATTTATCTTCCGTTGTGTAAAATATACAATGCGTCTACTAACCAGATCGAAAAACGCAAAAGCTGTTCATCGAGGGGGGTCCAGTTGGATATATAACAAGGTTTTCAAGTATTTTTACAGCACATAGTACATTATGTCGTATCGATTTTTAAGGATCGACTGTGTCGGCCACCCTTGATATATGTATATGCGTCGTGAAGACTGTTGGTTAGAGAGGAGAGAGAGAGAAATCGTTTCCGAGTAATTTATGATGTTTGCCGTCCTCTGAACTTATTGAAAAAGTTCACCGGAAGATTTTTCACACGTGTGGCGCGTGCGTACCGCTTTCCATCTGTCGTCCCGAAAAGTTTGGCGCGAGCGCTTTACTCATTTCCCCTTATTTTCTGCTGGGGCCCCAGGCGTGATGTTTCGCTGTGCAGTAATAGCTCAATAATATGGGGAGGATCATGAACATTTGTATACCAGGTTATTGCATATACCTATTATACCCCTCAAGTGACAGCAGACGGTTAGATTTTAAGATTATAAATTTATTTGCCTCGAGTGTACGTAATATATGTGTGTTCGGCTACTTATAACTTCTGTTTATGGGATTCATCGTTATATGTTTTGGCAGCACTGCAGCATATTTGCACGTGTTTGTGAAATTTAAATTATTGCATTTGAACATATATAATTGTGGCGTCGTGTATATGTTAGGTGTCTATATATTATGTTGGTAATACAACAATATTTAACAGAAAATGTAATGTTTATGAAGTGTGGCAAATATGTGTCAAAAGTAGTTTACACGAAAACAACTATAGGGAAACATTGTGTTGTACTTATACGCAGCAAGCCATAAACGATTGGGTGTAATGTTTTTATATGTATTTCTATGTATACTATATAATATAATAACAATAATTATTATCATAATCAATGATTTTTTGATATCGTAAATATTTCGAAAAATCTGGTTTATTATTTTATATACCCTTGCGTGTGTTGATATATTCTACAATATCCGTCATCAATCCTCTTGATCGGTGTACGTCTTAACGCCTTATAATAATATCGATCGTGACGGTTGGTGCATATACCTATTATTATTATAAATTATAATAAAAACTCAATTTATGGCAAAAAAAATTATGTTTTACGTCAGAAAGATCGATTTTTCACTCTGTTTCGAATAGCCGCCACAATGAAATGTTTCCATACAGTTTGAAATACTTATAAATATTACAAGACTTTAACGTTACATTTATTTGTTATTATTATATTTAACACGATTATTCATCTGTGTAGAGTAAGGATCTGTGACAGCAACTATGATGCATGATGGCATAAAACTTTTTTTCAGAAACGCCTCGGGGGATCAACATGAGATTTTTAGATTTACAAGTATACCAGAAAAAAGCCTCTTCTGCGGCATCTGCAGTCTTTGCTGAAGTTTATTACACTTGTAAGTCAATTTATCGTTCACATTCAGTCTGATTGAAGAGAATTATTCATAATTTGTATGCAACAACGTCTCCGTGTCACAGTGTCACATTATATAGGTAATAATAAAACGAGTGGATCTGCAATACATCTATCGAGCCACAATATAGTATACTTCTAGCATACTTCTGTCATCATATGCACTTCGCGAAGACGTATTATCTGAATGACCTAATTATCCAATTGCGAGATAATATTCATAAGTATATAATATTATGGTGCATAAGTATATACCTACATGACTGTAATGAAAATTCACATACACCTTTGCTGGAAGAGCGACATTGCCCTAACCTATAGCTTGTATAATACGCGTGTTCGTTGAATTCGAAACGGTCCACAGTAATACGGGAAAGGGAGAATTCTGTGAAAACACAATATATATAGCTATACTCAATCCGGATGCATATATGGTAGCTACCTAAATATATGACATATTTATACATATACGAGTTTAAGCAGTTGTCTTCAGGGATGTCCGTGACGAATATATATAGAAAACGTTTACCTCTTATACACAAGTATAACAATAATATTCTTGAATTGTTCCCTTATAAACACGCTTCTCCGTATGTGCGGTGTTAAACACAGTGTGATTTACCAAGCACTCTTACCTTCCATTTTTCCTTTCCGATAATGAATTTATTCAAATAATTGTTTTTGGGATTTATAAGTATATATTTTTAAAGACCTTATTTAATTATTTAGTTTTTACTATTTAAAAAGTTACTGGTGGTGATAAAAACATAAGTTTTTCATATGTTTTTGAAATATTGTTGTATCTAAATATTATAAATCAAAATTCAAATGAGTTGTTTCCGAGTTATTAATATGTATGTATAGTACTTAAAAATGGATTAACAAAATATATATAAAATCTATGTATATAATGGCTGTAAATCTGGAAATTATTATAGGTACTCCGACAACTTGTACGCATTTTAAAATGTTGAAAAATTAATAAAAATTGCTATATCTTGGCCCCCATAACTTCCAAATCCATTATTATGACCTCCAACATATCCTCAACACAAACAATTAAAATACTTATAAATTAAAAACTACTCATTATTTTAATTTCAATTTAGATTTATCAAAATTTTCAAATAATATGTATATCTGATCAAAAATATTTTTGGGAAAGAAGTGCGAATTTTATTTTTTAAAAAAAGTTTATTTCGTTATAGAATTACCTTAATCGAGGTTTTCGAAAATGTGGCCCTACAGTAGGTATACTCTAAAACTCCAAAAATCAGAATTTGAATTACATAATGTATTATGAAAGGAAATAATGGGGGTGAGCATGCTTGGCGAATTCTGAATGGTATACCCTGTATGCATATATATGATATAACATGTACCCGGCTGTAAATCGTCTCATCACGGCGCGAGAAGTCCCAACGGCCGTTTTTCACCTTGCGGAACGCGCGTCCCGGAATATTTTTCAGAGGCGCCCCCTTTCTTATATATATTATTATTATTTCGACTCCTCGAAAATTGAAAAAAAGAAAAAAAACCTAACTCACAATACCGCGATTGTGTAGGTAAGCGTATATATATATATATATATATATGAATAGGGTAACACACACACGCGTATATACATGCGATGATGTCGGGCGTGCGTATGTGTTTGTGTGTGTGTGTGTGTGTGTGTGCGCGTGTACCCCGCCGACAGTGAAAAGGACTTGCCCCACATATGTTCGTACCACGCACGCCGTACCACTATTATATTATATATGTATATATGTATATTGTATAATGTATATGCTATATATATATATATATATATATATAGCTGTCCACCATTGTGTGTCGCCCTTTTTCCTTTAGCTTTTTCTCCGCCCGATTATTATTATTCTTTTTGGCGCGCCTGCTTATATATATATACATATTGTTATTGGCGTTCTTCGACGTTGGAAATCGGTCTCTATAAACATAATCATACAAATAGGTATACACGTCGAAAATCAGATCGTTTTCCGGGCCCCGAACACAACTCTTTTGATGTACGGTACAATGCGAATTACAAATTACTTTACTATATAGCTTTATTATATACACGCAGGGCGAGTTCGAGTAGGAAACTGCATATGTTTGCTATCTGCGGAAATTACGGGCAAACCAGAATTCACGTACCTCCACTGTTATTTTCGGTAACCGTCGCGGAATCGTTGTTCGTATTTATTTTCGTAAGTGAAATGACATTTTTCGAACGTTTTACAATATTCTTATTATAAACGTAATGGTGTTTGTTTTTGTAGGTAGTCCCTTTTGTAATATTTTTGTGAACATTTTGTGCAACTAACTATTTATTAAAGGCATTCAAAGTTTACTGGAGTGGAGTGGCATGAGAAACACTCCCCTCGAAATGTTGGTGCACTACCTACTACAAACTTTACCAATGCTTATAGGGTTAGACCGTATATACACTTATATATTAGGTAGTAAGTATTTGTGCGCGTACAAATATCCGGTAAAAATCGAACGTCAATATATCTGATCTCAAGATCTCGATTTTCGTTTTTTTATTACTCTCATCGTTTTATTCTCCAATGGTATTAAGTTACTTTTATGTACGATTAACATATCATGATCGCGAATCACCCCGATTTTCTCCGAGGATTTTTTTTCCGGCCGATACAATTTCACATGAAATAAATGTTGCTTGCAAATTACACGATACATCGGAGTGGCTCGTCTTCCGCAAGGAATTAGTTCAATGAAATATAATATTATAGTTTATCGCTTTTGACATTGAAACATGATGTAAGTATAAGTACCTATCCGTTATATGCATACAATATATACATATGTATAGATTATAGATGATTTACAATGCATATAGGTATGTAGGTATATATTTTATTTTGTATTTATATTTTATACGCATATAAATATGCAGAGTTTTTTAAGCGTCTCGTCAGAAATACGAGCCCCGGCGTAAGAAAGGGCTCTTCTTTATAAAAAATTCGACTTTGTGGATTAATAATGATAATAATAAAAGACAATGGGATCATCTATGTACCAAGCACTAATTCAATAAATCGAAATAATTTTTACGCTTCCCCGTCCATGAGGTGGTATTAAGCCCTAAGGGTTAAGTCGCGTTCGATACTCGCAGGTACGCATTATTAAATATGTACATACAAATATGTACGCCGATCGACCTCTGCACGCGTAAAGCATCCAAAGGGTTGTTGAGGTATATAGACAGCTGCGTGCTATTGTGCTGTCATTTTTGTGATTATAACTTTCCGGGCTATTACACATTCAGGTAATTTCAAACGTATTAGTCTAATTTAAATTTAAAAATTACATATATTTGTAACGGCTTATGCGTCTGTCAGTCATACATTATATTTGCGTATGTACATTACCATTCATCTGAAAGGGTTGTACGATAGTTCCCGAGTACTAACATCACGAGGAACAACGTACAATAATATTTATAAAATGAAATTCGTGTTGTATCCGAATCGATTCAACATAATATTATCTTGTTCATAACACACGACTGGGCGTTAAAAATTGAAAATTAGGGTTGACGGGCATACCGTATGGTATATTTAAGGTATACGGCATACGCCTAATTATAATAATGTACCAAAGTATTGTATACTTTTGCGTCCAATATACAGTTCAATTTATGCATTAAAACCAACATAATATATAATTTCTATATTTATTAACTTCATTCGGACCGATTTGAATGTAGAACGTTATGTAACATAGGTATTCGGTTGTAACTCGAGATAGACTACCAAGAAAATATGTTTCATATACGATGATGATAGTTTCGTTCGGATTTGAAATAATAATACAACACTTCACAGTATGTCAATATACCATACGTAGAACTCTTATTTTCCATCGTATAGAATCGAGTATAAAATTAGTATTTTTCTGGTTCCACTTCGTCGATGATTTTTGGCGGACAACACATTTTGTTTATATATTATGTACGCACAAAAAATTCGGCAAGTCGCATGTATGTATGGTGTATACCTATTGTAATTATGTACGAGTATGTATACATATGTATACATATGTCGTAAATATACAAATGGCCACATTTCTTGACGTTCGCATCATGGACCGGTGTATTGGTATAAGAATATTGTCATTTCTGTAGATTATATACAATTTTAGGGGTGTTGTATTGCCGTATAATTCGAAAGGAAAAACAAAATGTGTTTTACAATGTTCGATGCGGCTCTTAAAGTCTAAACTGCGACACGCAGTCTTATAGTTATTACAACAGTTTTACGTTTACGCGCTGTCGGTTTTTTTTCCGCAGTCTTTTCTCGAATATGGGTGTATAATAGTATACATATATATTATGAAAGAGAAACCTTTGTGTAATAATAAATTTGGGTTTAGGACAGATCCCATTAGATGTGAGGAGGGGTGAACTTTTTTTCTTCTGGAAAAGGACTATGAGGGTGAGCACTACGTTATATTTATGTAGAAACTCGTGTGCGATTTGAATACCAAATTAATGTTCGCGATTCGGGTAGGAGGGGATATGCTGAGTAAAACACGAAACTTCTATACATATGCAATGTAAGAAACTATTTGAAAAGAAATAACGTGACTTCCGATGAACTTTCAATCGTTGCATGTTATAAAAAAATATGTTTACCAAATCAATTTTCGAGAGAAAAAAATACTGAATAATGTATTTAAAATGTTATTTTAAGTATGCACAATTCTATAAAAGTACATTACAGAAATATGCCATATGAGATAATTTAATAAATATTAACAATAGTTCTTATCTATAATTATGTGGTATCCATGATAATATACGCAACAGGTATTGTATTACATTCACCGAGTGGTTTATTAACTTCAAACAGTACTTATCGTTAACATAACATTGTTGAAAAGCATTCCTTTCGTTAAATTATTTCAACCAACGATATAATTGTGTCGGTAATTATCTTCTCATTAAAAAAAAAAACAAACTAAAATAGTTTTTATTAACAGAAAAAAAAGTTTTTCCCTACAAAAATAATACTCTTTAGTGGCAGCTGTGAAGATTTAGATCGAACACCCACCACCATTCCGTTGCCATATACGCTGATGATCTGTCAAGATTTAAATTCTCTCGAACAGCATTTCCGTAAACGCTTAAGTGAAGATCCCCCGTAGATGTCATCGCTATTTAAAGGAACAACTGCTGAATAACATTTGGACATTTTTAATTTTCTAAAAGTTGCTTGGGTTTAAACGAATTGAATGAATTGATTAATTATCTTTTCTTGGCATCGTGACAAAACACATTTCTCTTTATTCTCGCTTAGTTATATATATATATATGTCTTTTCTTCTTAAATCTGCCTTAGTGTTGTGTTTAAAATAACAAAAACTTTAAAAAAAAAACTTTTGTGTTGCTTACGCACGTTGGTTGTGTAATCATTCCGTGTATGCAATAAATCGTTTATATCGTCCTATGAAATTATTCTATTCCTACAAGAGGTTCGTAGTTAAAATTAAATTTTATTTTTTTATTATTTTCTGACTATCCCTATCTTGCGCGAATATGGGGATACACTTATGCATACACCTACGGTCTGCGATAGATAAGACTAATGTATTAAAAGAAATTAACACTCGACTATTGTAAGGCTCATCTTCAGTCTCAAA